AAAAAAAAAAAAAAAAAAAAAAAAAACCCATCGTGATTACTCTTTTGCCTCCGATTTGACTGATGATGAGCTTATCCATCATCAAGTCCATAGGCACTTGTGTTTGAGGTTTATCTCTCTTGCAAATCTGACAACTTTCGACCTACATACGTGTAGGCATCTTGTCTCGTACCTCGCCACCTAAACTGATGTAACAGATTAGCATATGTTTCTTTAACGAGCGAACTGTAGCCTTAACGTAGTGTCTGGCGGTGGTGCTCATACCCTAAGCTGCTGTTAGCCAGAGTCGGTCTATTGGCCTACTCAACTCCTACATCTTTTCACGAAGACGGAGCTTTTTGAATACACAATTGACTCATGTAACTAGGGGTGGATCTATGTCTTACCGATCAAGGTTTCCGTTTCCTCTCTGTTGACCTCAGCCTCTACGAGGATCAGGGCACCCTCAGTACAATTCTGTTTCACTACCTAGGAGCACATCAGATTTGAAAATTCTTCCTCTACCCCCTCAAGGGCATCAGTAATACCTCAAGGGCATAGACTCCTTTTGGTGTCGGACTTCGATTTGACGGTAGCTTCAGATTCAGCAACCATAGCCACCATGATCTGTGAGGTCGAGGAAGGTACATATGGACTGTACAGATCTTGTTCTTCTCATCACAAGGTCACATAGAAGGGACTGCACCCTCTACTGGCTCTGCTATTTTCCCTGTGGACAAATTTTCTTGATATGGCTTACTTTGCCACACCACATACATGCTCCCGTACGTATTCTGCCTCACAAGAGCTCCTTCGATAGATTGTGGTAATCCCATGGTTTCTTCGTTGGTGCTATAAAGTAGACGGTTGTGGCCGACCTTTTACCTCGACTACATGGAGATGACGGTCCTGCAATCCGTTGCCGTTTACGGTGAGTGACAACTCTTCCCTCTTAAGTATTGTTAGGCTCATCCACCTCTTCGGGCTCTACACCTACCTCATAAGGCCACACGTCCGGCGGATTGGTAGTATGGACTGGCTGGTCCGTAGGCACTGGGGAGCCTCAGTTTACGATCACAGTGAACTCTTATGTCTAGCATTCACATGGAGACAAGGAAATTGGCAGAAACGACAAAGCCATGCTCACACCAGCATAAGAAATGGACAATGCTGTAGTCTCTTGTGTTGAGGAAATGCCCTCTTCTTGCATCCCAACAACTAATACAACAGTAATGATAGTTATGTGCTCTCGTTGGTCGCGCTTCCAGCTCATGTGATCACCTACTCCTCTCTATCCACTGTGGTAGACTAAATTACAATGCTGCAGAGTAGGGCCGCCGTTGTCTGCCAATGGGTCTCACCGCCTAGACCCCCCAGGAAGATGCACTAGGTTATCCCCCTCCTCTACTACAATGGGCTATCCTCCAAGAGTCACTCCTCTTGACTGCAGTGTGCAAACATGTCAGTATACCTTCTCCTTACGTATTACAGCCTCCATCGGGAGTTGGACGATACCCAATCAAATGATTGCATCTTTCCTTCTGAATTTTGCTTGCCTGGGCTTTCTGGATGAAACAGGCAGAATAGCAGATGAACTTTTATTCTTACAGAGTGAGTGGATGGCTCCAGTTTCTCGCTCTCAACGGTAGGTGAATACAAACTCTTTCCTGTTCAAAGGGAAAGCTCATGGACCTTTATGGAAGTAGTTCGTCCTGGATGGCTCAACGTGCTGTTCGACACGTTTGCAGCGTGGAGCAGATCGTGCACCTGGCCTCCTTCATGTCAGGTTCATTCTGGCGCAGGTGGTGGTGTCGTTTTCCAAACTTCCAGGGGAGGGTGATGTCGCCCCTGTGCGGTGCCTCTCCCCTGTCAACGGTTCCAAGAGAACCAGTCGCTATATGTCCCAACGCCCCATGACATGACTCTAGCTGGTGGTGTCTAATTCCTGCTCCCGTTGCCGCAGCTTTGCCACCACCCTCGCTCTTCCTTCTCCCACGGTTGCTTCTCCTACTCCTTATTCCTCTGATGTTCCTTGCTGGTCACGGAAGAAGTGGAAAAGGGACGGTGGGACAGGAACAAAAATGAACCGCGCGGGAAATCTCTGACAGCCCAGACGCATGAGGGGGTGCCCAGGACCGACTTCTTGTATTGAGACTTCAGTGAAGCTACCGTGTTCCGCCGAACTTACACGTACGGTTATTATGTGGACGTTTGGCGCAACTTTCAGTCCAGGTGAAGGGACAAATGACCGTATGTTCTGTTCAGGGAAAGACGGTAGTCTACAGTTTCAACCATGGCTGCCATCTCCCTTACTGTCTCCTGCTCTTTTTCCTTTTCGAGCCAGTCCCCCTTCTGCAGGGGCTAAGGCTTTCTTTCTCTTCACAACCTGCCCACTCAGTCACCTTTGTGCAGTGTGAAAGTGCCACTGCCTAAGTGGTTCCCAAAGCACCCGCCCATCAACGTGATGCTGCCAAATCACTTTATCATATGTCGTATTCCCTAGTGGGATAAGATATGGCATATTCACTATGTAAATTAGGTTATAGGTCCAGGCATGCCTTGACAAGTAACGAAGGAATGCGAAACGAAGTCAAGATCCCGGCAACCTGGAAGGCCCAGGAAAATGATGGCCTGGGATGAACACAGCCTCTGTACCCTGGCTCAGTTCTACAGGTTTGCCCGAGAGATAGGCTGCAGGGTGGTTCCGTGGCCCTGCAGACGTTTGTAAGGTTATTTCGAGGTCTCCCCTGGGTTCAATTGTTGTCTTTTACTGGCCAATGACGGGGATGTGTCGAAAGTCGTAGTAGTTTTTGTTGATTGAATTGGCTTTTTGAATGTTATCAATGTGGAGACGGACGGGAGCCCTTGAAGCGGTTCATGTCGCGGAGAACCCTGTTTTGTCCGCTGATTGATTAATGGACATGTGTCGTGTGGCGATGAGGACCTGCAGGAATTCTTGGCGAGGGAGGGTGGTCAGTGCTGCGCGTGTGTACAAGCTGCTGGTCAATGCGAGGCGTTCTGTGAAGGTGAGTTATGTTTCCCTTGGTGGCTGATGGCGGGAAGTCCTCCAGGAAAAAAAATCCCTTTGTTTGGTGACCACTTTGTCCGCGATTACTGCTGGCAGGAAATTCTCCTACAGGAACAGCCTTTGTTATTGAATGCTCTGTTCTTTTGCCCTGGCGACTCTCGGTAGGAAACTCTCATTCGCCTCACCTCCCTTTTCTAGATGTGCCAGTGGGTGCTTCACCCCTTTTTTGCTGATAACGGGATGCATGTGGTGGGGATGGTTCTGTTTGGTTTCCTTCTGCATGCCCCATTTCTTTGATGCGGTTGGGTTGGCGACTGCGTGCTCTTTGTCTATCACCAGATGTGGCCGGAAAATTGTGAACATGTCTTTTGTAGGCTGTGCACTGGGGGAGAAAACGAGCTTTTATTTGTTCTTGGATGGCATCGGCAAGCGCCAAGCGCCAAGCCCTGCCGCATTATGTTTACGTTTTTGTAGCAAGACCTGACAGTAGATATGAGATAGCAAATACGAACTGCAGGCGTCAGATTGAAAATTCAAACGTAGGCATTGCAGTGTTGAGGCATAATCGTAACTCAGGGGTGCCCCACCCCATGACCTTCGGATCCTGCTGAGATTCCAGGGGGGGGGGGTGTTTTACAGCCCAGGGCTGAGGGAGGCGGGCAGAGATGTTTTAGGGGAGGAAGGAGATGTGAATGGGCTTTTCCTATGTTTTGGACAATGGCGACAATTACCAGATTTAGACGAAACTAGTTGACGGGGCAAGTGGGTGCACTGGGATGTTGGTGGGGACAGTGAAACCATTCGTGTTGCCTTTTGTGGAGCCGTTCTCTCTTTTTCTTTCTTCTGTTCAGCTATTGCATAGCTTCTGTATTCTTTTTTTTGGCAGTGCCTTGTATTTTTATATGATCCTTAATGTATACAAGTGCCCAACAATCGTCAATGGAAGAATGGGATAGGCAAAATGCAGGGCAGCGGGGAGGGTGCGTGACTTCACAAGCTCATTGGACTGAAAGGCAAGACAGTGTGCTGGTGTGCTGCTTCTCACCAAAGCCAGATGGTTTGCTGCAGCACAGCAAAACAGTTTGGTGTCCTGAGTCTCTGCGAGGAAAGGCTGTGAGGTTCAGCAGGGCAATGCACTTTGGTCTGTTGCTTTTGCCCAAGGCAAAACAGTGTGTTGTAGCACAGCAACGCACCTTCGCGTGCTGCTTCTGCCCAAAGCAAGGCAAGGCACTACTGCACGTTTCCCTAGCAAGAGTCCTGCCATCTGCAGGTGGGAGCGACAAGGAGCTGCATGAACATGCCCATGAATGCTCCCCGATTGCTACTGTAAGGGATGCGATTAGCGAATGAGAGGGCTTTTCAGCACCCCCCCCCCCCCCCCCCCCCCCCCCCCAACAGGGGGGTGTCACTTTGCAAGCTGTCTCAGTGGACTCTCATTCCAGAGGATGAACCCTTGTGAACACGTGTGGTTGCGTATGAATATCGTGTGAACACGTGTGGTTGCGTATGAATATCGTGTCATGCCATCTATGTATACAAACATGTGTATCCGTCTATCATCCCGCATGGAACCTTCTGTCATTCATTCTCTTTCTCTTAGCTGTCTCAGTGAGTTTCATTGCAAGCCAAAACAGTTTTTTTTAACTTTTTATCGGTCTTTTTATTTATTTATTTAATTTGTGCAGGTGCCTCAAGCATTTTTAGTGACCCCTTGGTTCCAATATGTCTTGATGGAATTACTGTTGCTGACATTGTGTGATGCTTGATGCTCTCTTTGCTGCGACACTTTCTTTCCCATTCAGAGCCTAGAGGAGAAGCTAACTGCGCAGAAAAATACTGCGGAAGCAATGAAGGAAGCAGAGACGACATGCCGGAAAGATGTGGAAAGGGCACTGCAGGATTCGAGGACGGAGGCTACGAACCTGCGGACTATTTTTGCAAGTATGGAACAGAAGTGGGCAGCAGAAAGGGGTAGGATGGAGGAGCAGATACGGTTGGGTGCAGAGAGGATTTACAAAGCAGACCAGATGTTGATGGAGTTGGGGAAACGTATTCAGAAGTCGGAGGAGCAAAACCGGGAGCTGGGTGAGGAGAACGCAAAGCTGAAAATGGAGCGAACGAGGCTACTTGGGGAACAAATGAAACTGGATATAGATAAGAAAAGGTTGGAAGAGGAGAATAGGAAGTGCAAGATGGACAGAGAAGTAGCGCTCAAGACTGTCAGCAACAATGAAAAGAAATCGGCGAGCGAAGTACAACGGGCGGATGAGCTTTTGCAAGCGAAGAATTTCCTTCTGCAGAAGTTGGACCACGCCGAACGGAAGCTTGTCAGGAGGGACAACCGGATAAAGAAGCTCAGGGAAAAGATGGACGAGTTGCAGGAGCAGCGGGGAAAGTGGAAGAAAGAGGCGAAGAGGTTGAAAGAGCTGGTGAAGAAGGACAAGGAGACGGCAGAGAGTCGCAAGGAGCTGGTGGGAGAATTGGAGGAGGAGAGAAGCAAGCGGCTGCAGGTGGAAGAGACAAGGAACAAAGAGATGGAGCTGTGGAGGGAAAAGGAACAGGAATGGCAAGTGGAGAAGCAGCAGCTAGAGGAAAGCAGGTTGTCCGATGTAAAGCTCTGGGAAGAGAGGCTTGAAGAGGAGAAGAAGATATCGAATAAACACGCACGGATGTGTCAGACGCTGAAGAAAATTGTAAAAACCTTGGCCCACAAGGATATGAAGGTAAAGGTGAAGCGGGACGCTCCACAGAAGAGGCCTTCTGGTATTGCTGTGGAGGGCGAGGGAAGGGAAGAGCGAAGGTCAGGTGTAAACAATGGCAAGGTGCGGACGTTGTCAGAAGGATCACAGCAACAACCGGGGGCGAGAGTGAGAGAGGCGCCTGAAGCCAAAGTCAGAGAAATGAAACCAAAGGCAAGAAGGCAGTTGGACGGTGCAGGTGCAGAGGGACTGGTCGAATTGAAGAAGGCGACGCCAAGCAAGATTCCGAAGAAGAACAAGAAGAAGGAAGCAAAGGTGGTGTCCGCCTTAAAAGAGAGAGCGGGAGAGAAGAGAGCACCACCTCATCAGGAACCTGGCCAGGCTGGTGCTGTAGCAAGCGCTGGAAAGAGGAAACGTTCTAAAGAAAAAAAGAAAGTTTTGAAGTCTGTTGGCAAAGTATTAATCTCTTGCGCGGATGGTGGCACAGCACCCAGATCTGGGCTTGTCTTGAAAAGTGGACAGAGGAAAATTATGAGCAAGGAATACGCGGTGCAAACATCCACTAAGAGGAAGGGGATTGCAAGGCAGAGAGAAAATCTGGAGGAGCCTGTGGAGGAAGAGGAGGAAGAGGAGGAAGAGGAGGATGAGGAGGAAGAAGGGCAAGAGGAGGGGGAAGAGGAACAAGAGGATGAGGATGGTGAAGAGGATGAAGGTGAAGAGGAAGAAGCAGAGGAGGACGACGAGGAGGAAGACGAGGAGGAGGAGGAAGAGGAGGAAGAGGAAGAAGAAGAAGCTGATGAAGAAGAGGTGGAAGAAGATGATGAAGATGATGATGAGGATGCGGAGGAAGAGGATGACGACGAAGAAGAAGAAGAAGAAGAAGAAGAAGAAGAGGAGGAAGAAGAAGAAGAAGAAGAAGAAGAAGAAGAAGACCAAATGGACGTCCTTTATAAATATCGGAATGCGGCTTGTGGCCGGGGAAGGAAAGATGGATGGTTCATTCAACATGCTGCTTCTGAGGGGGAGAAGAGCCTTATGGGAAAGGCAGGCAAAAAAAGAAAGAATTCAGGGAACCTGAAGGGGCAGAAGATGAATGGGGGAGGGTCTGTGAGCCTCGCAAAGAAGCCTGTGCCAATTCCAGGTCCAGGTCGTGGGCCAGGCTTCAAGCGGAGTAGCGATGCCTGTCAGGCAGGGCAGAGGAAGAGGAGGAAGCAAGCACACTTTGCAAGTGGGTTCTAGGGGGGCGCTTTGTGGTGATGTCTGTGGCCTAGTTTAGACAGAGCTGTAAATTGTTTTGCGGAGGAGGTTTAAGATAGTCTTTCTGCGAATGTGCATATCTGCATGGTTTTTGTGGAGTGAGAAAACCCACCAACTGTGCCAACTGTGTCGTCTCTACTTTCCGTTCACGCTACTCTGTTTCCTCGCAAGAGGGGCATGGTTGCTGGGTAAGTGTGTGTCTGCATTACTAAGGAGGGAGTGGGGACGTAAGAAGGCATCATCTCTGGTGTTCCCTGCTGGTAGGTTGCTAGGTTGTAGCATGGCGTGATTCACTTTGGGTGTGGTTGTTGCGCAAATATAGCTCAGAAGAAATGAAGAAAGTTCGAAGAAGAAATGAAGAAAGGTCGAAATGATGTTATCTTCCATTGGGTAAATAACAGTTCTGTGGATTCTGTCCACATCAACAGGAGGCCAAATCGACATGCACATTGCGCAGGGGACACGAGTTTTCATTCCCACCAGGCGTGATAATACCACGTGAGATTATTCCCGCCATGCATGACTACACGAGTTGATTCTGCGTAAACGTGATAATACCACAATGACTTGTAGATGAGGCAAACAACTGCTGTGAATGATGTGTGATTCAGATCTGCTGTCAAACGCTACGAATGCATCGGAGCGAGGAAGTTTAGCAAGGGGTGCTGCAGGTTTTGTTTCAAGGTACGTGACACATACTGCAGGTGATGTGATGATGACCTTCTGGGCAGTGGTAGGGTTGTGGAATTGTTATGGGAACAGTTGTATTGTGCTGGTTCACCAGCAGCACCAGAACTAATTTTTCAGTGCAGCATTGTGGATGAACGGTGGGTTTGACGTACGTCGTGCACACAGGCAAATGCCTGTCAATGAAGCTTTCATGGTCCCGGAAAGCCCCCACGCCAATGTATGAAATCACCAGGCTTATGGGGTGCAATAACCATTGCATGGATGAGGGGGTGTTTGGGGTGTGCAGACTTGTATATCACTATGGGACTTGTGACACTGGGGATAATGCTCAGTTATGTGAAAAGTGCGCTGTACCGGAGAACAGAGTATGTCCAACTCTCTCCCTCCCCTCCCTGATTTCCATGGCCCTCACCACATTCTACAGCCTCCGCTGAACCTGCAAATCACCCTGTTTATGAGTTGTCTTGGGCAATAGTGGAAACCTCTGGATGGCATGACACACATTATTTGACTTCGCGCAGCATAACAGACCGTCCCACCTCTACACAAGCAGTTCGAGTCATGACACCTCAGAGGATGAATAGAGATCCTTGCCCAAAGTTAGTCTTGCATGGTATCATGTCTGACAGCAGAAAATTATGGGTTCAGGTTTCAGCTCGAGCAGGCAGAGCTTTTCTATTTGTTTTTCGTTTTTTGTTTTCTTTCAATGTGCCGTGGTTCGATAGTCCGAAAGTATCTTGCCTGGCGGCCTGTCCAGAAACATGTTGGGCTTGCACCTCGTACAGCACTGCTATTCTGACTTCACAAAATGCAAACCCATAACTTTTTGCCCAGAGCACAGGGCCGTCGAAGAAACATATCAGCTCAGCAAGCCGCTGCTGCAACATCATGCTGGCTCACAGTGGACGAGCGAGCGCAAGGGCCATTCAATAATGTCTGGTCCGTGCTCCGTTGGACCGCACATTTGCGAAAAATACGGAACAGTGGCCTATTCGACCCCTCATGGTAAAAACAAATTCTGCAGTGGTTCTCCGCTGCTGATGTGAAAAAATCAGTGGAGGAGATCCTCTGCCCATATTTTCAACAAGTGGGGTCCGAAAGGCCCCATGTTTTTTTTTTTTTTTTCGTAAGCGAGGCAGTGGGCCCCGGTGGTCTGGGCAATCTTGTGGATGGCTGCGACTCCCGGTCCCCTCCCTCCCCCTCCCCCCGCCCCCCCAAAGCGCGATGCGTTGGGTTGGACCGGCGGCCGGCCAGGCCGGTGGACTGCCTGTTCCGACCAGCACTGGGCAAAGAATTATAGCCATGAGGGTTGGGAAAAAATGATGGAAGTTCAACAGGCCTTATGGCAAACTGCGGTGTTGCGTAGTTCGCCATGCCGGTTCATGGTTTGAACCAGTGACCTATGGTTGGTCCGCTATTCTGTGTGCCTGGAGGAATACCAGGTGCTGATGGTCGCAATGTTTTCTTTCCTTTTTTCTTTGACAAAACAGGCCCTTCTAGTCCTCGCTCCTCGCTCCATGGCCATTCTGGGGTGCATCAGTCCGGTTCCTTTTACCCCGGCAAGTCTGTATTACATCATTGACAACCTCACGCTTCCTTCCGTTTGGCCGAAGAACCCCTGACCCGCATTGATTGCTCCTTGTATCTGGGGGATTGACTGTCAGCCTTCCTTTCTCATGAATCCCTCTCAGGTTCGAACAGTGAACCTGCGAATCATAACTTTCCGCGGCAAGAATCCGGAGATAGACTTTGACACGTTGTGCCTAAGTCTGCTGTCGACAGCCTTGCCCCCCTCCTTGTTCTCGTCTCCTCCTTGATGATGGCTTCACCTATCACGTGTCCTGTATTTTGGGATTCTGGGGTCTCCCTAGTTTGGTTACCTGTCTCCTCAGTGCTGGGTCGGAATTATGCTAGTCTTTCCATATTGTAGTCCCTGGGTTACTGTGGGCCACCTTGCCTCTGGCCAACCAGATTCTCCTGGAGCATGCAGCATTTGAGCGAAGGGGGGAGGTAAGGAAAGGTGAAAAAAAAAAGTGAAAAAGCAGGAGAGTAGTAGGATATGGGGAAAGGATCGGGAAGGACCGGGATCAGGGGAAGGAGGAGATAGGAGGTGGTGGAAAAAACGATGGTGTCAACATTAAAGGAGAGGGGGAACGGGGCGGGAGACGGAGGGGCATGACAAGGCCAAGAGGCTACAGAGTCGGCGGAGGACGAAGGGCAAGAGGAGGGAGAGTGCAGGGCGGAAAGTAAGAAGCAGAGAGGTGGGCAGGAGGGAGGAGATGGGAGGTGGTGGAAAAAAGGATGATGTCAACATTGAAGGAGATGGCACGGGGAGGGAGATTGCAGGAGACGGAGTGGCATGACAACCCCAACAGGGTACGGAGAGTGGGAGGAGGAAGAAGAGCAAGGTTAGAGGAGGGAGAGTGCAGGGTGGAAAGTGAGAAGCAGAGGGGTGGGACAGGAGGAGATGGAAGGTGGTGGGAAAACAAGACGGTGTCGACATAGAAGGAGATGGCACGAGGGGGGAGGGAGCGAGAGATGGAGGGTTAGACAAGACCAAGAGGATACAGAGTGGGAGGAGGAAGAAGGGAAAGGTAAGACTACCGTCTTCACCCGAATGGAACGCCCGGTCATTATGGCCGTATTTGGTGCAATTTTCAGTCCAGAGGGTTAGACAAGACCAAGAGGATTCAGAGTGGGAGGAGGAAGAAGGGAAAGGTAAGACTACAGTCTTCACCCGAATGGAACGCCTGGTCATTATGGCCGTATTGGATGCAATTTTCAGGCCAGATGGTGCAATTTTCAGTCCAGATGGTGCAATTTGCAGTCCAGATACAGCTATAATGACCAGGTGTCCTGTTCGGGTGAAGACGGTAGGGGAGAGCGCAAGGTGGAAAAGTAAGAGGGTAGAGGAAGATACAGGCCATGATGTCCGGCGCTGGACTTTGAACTGACGAGGACAGGCGACAGGATAAGACGGGGGACATATATGGGGGAAAGCATAGTGGAGTAAGGAAGATGAGAATGATGATGGGGAACACAATGGAGGCGGACGCTAAAAGTAGAGGAGGGAGAGGAAGGCAGGGAAGTCAGTGGTGGAGTAGGAATGTGGACACTCAGGAGGGCAAGGGGTGTGCACCTGGGTTAGTGACCGGTTTGGGTGGTGTGCTGAGGGGGATTGGCAACGCATGCCCGGCAAGGAGAAGCACCAGAAGGTTGTGCAGACGGGATGCTGCCACTGTCTTCACCTGAATAGAACACCTAGTCGTTATAGGTGCATTTGGTGCGAATTTGAGTCTAGATACGGGGATGATGAACGGGCATTCTATTCGACTGAAGACGGTAGGGGAGTGGGTGAGCTTGTCCATTCCTTTATCAAGGTGAGCTCGGGGCTCACAAAGGTGCTGAAAGTGACGTGCCCCATTTCCCTCACACCGACCTCGTCCGGGCATCATAGTCGTACTGCCAGATCTTGGGCCTCGCTCCACTACACAACACGCTCAAGCAATCTGGATCTGCCCATCGTCCCAATAGATTCCAAATGTTTGGTCAGTCGGAGTGTATATGGATCCAATTCTGTCCAGATACTCATCTAGAGTGTTGTGTAGTCAAGGGGGACCCCTTGTATTTTAGTGTTGGGCTGTTAAGGGCTGAGAGACGTCAGCAACGTGCTGGAAAACTTCAGTGACCTTTGGAAAATCTTATTAGAGCCAGACCTCTGACTCTGATCTGCTCTCTCTTTTGTGGCCTCGGATTGAGTGGACCCTCTGTCTGCGTCTAACCTGACCTGAGCAATATGTAGTGCAGTTTGTCCTTTTCTCCACTGTCCAGTCACGTTAAGCTAAAAGCCCTGCCCCCTCCTCCCCCCCCTCCCCCCCCAAACCTAACGATGTTGACGTCGTCCTCCTCCTTCATGTTCTTCTTCCGCATGCTTGCTTTCTTTTTGGTCCCCCACTATGTTCCAAGTGAATTAATGCAGTCTTCATAGTCTTTTAGTCCCCTCACTCGTGTCAAGAGGGGTATCTGTCTCGACCTGTTTTGCTCATCACATGGGTTGGAGTAATCTATGTGAATGGTTATGACAGTCCACGTCATGTAAAGCTCGTGCTCGTCTCTTGCTCTCGCCACCTCTCGGTCTAAGCATATGGCACATTCTTCGCCCACCTTTTGAGCACTGCCCTCTGGGGTGGAGATTCCTTCCCCCACCTTAGTGGACCACATTTCGGTCCGTACAGCCAGCGTGTCCTCTCCTCGAAAGGCCTAATCATAAAGTATATGATGTTCTCTTCTCATCTCCGCGCCCTGCCGCCTCTTAAGCGAGCCTATGGAAGATTCTTCGCCTACCTCTCGACCACGGCCTCTTGACAAAGGAGCCTCCATGAACGTCGACAACCTCATAGCACTCGGAAACCTGATAGCACTACATCTCAATCCGACGATCCGTGCACCCAGCTTATCCTCCTCAAGCAACATCATATCATTGATAATTTGCTGTTCTCCTATGCACCTTCTGTCCGGGCCTGCGCGAGCCCCTGATACCATGCACTGATCTGTACTTTGCGCGATTGAAATCTTGATCTGGACCAATCGTTGGCGAGTCTAAGCATGTACTCGTTGACGACACCCAGAGGCCTGTATGAACAGAAGAGCACGAGCAACGTACAGCCGGTCGGTTCCCATCCACTTGCTAATCATACTGCACTTGTCAAACTTGCTGTGAACTTGGTGCTTGGACTGCAACCACTCAGCAGCCCCGACCGTGTTGTTTCCAGAATCCAAATACGATTGTTTGTTAACATCGTGGGAGAGGAAAGACGAATAGAAAAAAGAGTGGAAAAAGAGCGACATCACTGGAGCGCCGAAAATAACCGAGGACCGAGGTTCCATAGCAGCAGGTTGAAAGTTAACACCAAGGCGAGTCCATCAGGCAGGCAGCACTTTCCTGCAGCCCGATCTCTCTCTCCTCCCATGCCAACTTTGCTACGAGCATTTTGCTGTCGAGCGTAAGAAGCCTGAATTTTCAGGACTGAGGTCATATGCTCTCTCAAAGCCTCGAGAGGCGGTTAACGGCAGACAACTTCTCATCCCATTTATAACAAAATCCAAAGGTCGGAGATAGACTAGCTACTTGCAAAAAAAAAAAAAGAAGAAGCAGAAACCTCAAGAAGAAGAAACACTATGAAATAGCAATGCAAAAG